CAATTATCCATGCGAATGCTCGGTACCCATATGGTACGATCGAGCATCCACGGCACTTGCATCGTACATCGAAGGCTAGCGATGTCAAGATGTGTCGTCGAGGGTGACTGAGCACGCGTGGTCGCCATGCAACTTGCAAAGCGACGATCTGTGCAAATCCCGATCTCCACGGGCCCACGGCGAACAAGAATCACTGCAACAAGTGTACCATGCACTGGTGCAACCATCGGCGCAGATTCCCGCGGCAACGCCGCGCGATGAAACCGCACTTACGTGGCCCCCAGCCCTCTCGCGTCCGAGCCTGCAAAACCACGCGCGCGCGACCGCCATCGACGCCGGGCCCGCCTGGCAGCGCGACCGGGCGCGCAGGCAGGTTGCCGAGCACATGCGCAAGACCGGGCATGCGCGACCGCGTCGAACTACCAGAAGGCGTCTCGATGGCCACTGTGGCCCCACACAGAGACCGCAACGCTGTGAGACGTGAGTCGTTCGTGAGAAGGGCTTCGGTGAAGGCGAAGCCGGCAAAGTCTAGGGTCAAGGACTCCACCAAGAAAGCCATCAATGACAAATTCTGAAGGCCTCATCACTGCGAAGACTCCTCCTCAACCAGGCTTTTCTGACACTGGCCTAGGAGTTCCTTCACCGAGAGCAGCCGACGTTGGTCAGGAAAAGTAGCGCTTCGAGTTCCGCGAAGAAGACATAAGCCCCAGGTAACCCCACCTGCCTTCAACAGGGCCCGACCTAAACAGTGTGTTTCCGTGTTCGTTTTGTGGTCGCTTTCCATCGTTCTGTCTTCGTCCCGCGTTTGCCCCGACCGCCAAAACACCGTTCAGGTAATTAGAGCCCGGGGCCTCAACTCGCCATCGCTCGGACGTCCATTCCGTGTGCTTTGTTCGGTTTCGTGCGTGGATTTTTCGCCAAATGATCAAGGATGCTCCTCGATGGTCCTCGCCGAAGAAAAGATGCACACGTCCGAGCGATGCCAAGAAACACCGTTTAGGTAGAGCCCGGGGCCTCAACAGGCCACCCGAGCAGTCCGCGGAGCGCCCCAGGGGCGCCGCCAGGGCGCCGCCAGGGGGCTGACACTGCCCCCGACGCCTAGGGGCCACTCGGGGGGCCCGTGTCGGGTGCTGGCAGGGCTGGGTTTGGTGGGACTTGGTTTGCTTAGTGATGTGTACCTGGGGACGCCCCCCCCCCCCCCCCCCCGCACCACTCTAAAGGGGCCCCAGGATACACAAATAAATACACACAAATAAAACTATTCCCCATATTTTCCCATATGTTCTGGGTTTTTGTCTTCCCCCCCACTTCCCATAGTTTCCCATGTTGTCTGGGGAATCGACGATTAATTGTGTCTGTGTGTTTTTTGTCCCTCCTGACACTCCACTCACCGGAACTGCCGCCACCCGAAAGAGTACCAGCTTCGGCAGACCTGGTTCAGACTGGTTCATTCTTGGGGCTTCAGGGCCCAATCGCTCACCGCCACTCCCCGGACCTCTCCCAGGGTGCGACCTGACAAGAAATTCGAGGGCGAGTCCAGCGCCGGCGACGAGGACCTCCCAGGAGGCCCAACAATTGCAAAACGGGGGAAGGGTAGGTAGAGGTACGGGCAGAATTGATTGCACAGGACACGCGACAGGACCGAAGACTCTAAAACTCTTCCAACGGCAACATGGCCTCCAACAAGAACAAAAGACCTTGCCCCGGGACTGCAGAGGACACGACTCGCGATGAATGGGACACGCGAGTATCCTTGATTTGGCAGGGTCTACCTACTTGTGGGGATCTATTCGTCTTTGGATGTGGAAGCCGGATGGGACTACCTGTAAGTCGGACATGTCCCTCTACAGGAGGAATACTCAATAACAGGCCAAACATAGTCAGGGGGCACTGTTTTCATTACTTTTCGACGCATTCTGCGTATGTTGGACTGCTCTGCATTCTTCTTCCAACACCCCCTTGTAGGATGACATGCCCGACCTAAGACTGCCTGGGGGCCAGCCTGTGCGCCAGCCGAAGCCCTGCCGCCGCTGGTTGGGGAGGTGCGCTGGCCCAGTGCCGGGCCGCTGACGCGCCACCCCCGAGGGAGCGCCTCCTCCTCCTCCTCCTCCTCCCATCCTCCTCCTCCTCCTCCTCCTCCTCCTCCCCCTCCTCCTCCTCCTTACCTCCTCCTCCTCCTCCTCCTCCCCCTCATCCTCCTCTTCAACAATTACTCAATATGAATACTACTCTCCCTCTTCCCCTGATGGCGTGCTGGGAATATTCGACCTCCCCCCCGCGTACTGCTTTTTTACACACAGGATTCCCGGAAGTTGGGTTTTCGCTTGCGTTTTTTTTCAAAATGCTGGTCTCGCTGAGGCGCCGGCCTCATTTCTGCTACCGAATCGTTCCGAATCGTGCTCCCGCTGCAGCGTGAGCCTCAATTTCGGATCGGTGTTTTGCCTCCGTCGTTCAGGATGGCGTTCTCGCCCCAGCGCGGGCCTCTTTCTCGCGCGCCCATCCGCCCGCCACCACTGCGCCGCACCACGCCCCGCCCCGCCGCACGCACACCCACCGCCACTTCCACCCACCAACGCACGCACGCACGCACGCGCACCACCACCGCGCACCGCCACCACCACCGCACTATCCCACCCACCACCACCACGCTACACCGCGTCACACCACATCACACGCGCGCACACACACACACACGCACGCACGCACGCACGCACGCACGCACGCACGCACGCACGCACGCACGCACGCACGCACGCACGCACGCACGCACGCACGCACACACACACACACGCACGCACACACACACACACACACACACACACACACGCACGCACACACACACACACACACACACACACACACACGCACACACACACACACACACACACACCACCACCGCCACCACCACCACCGCCATCACGCACGTACGCACCTGGCCCACCACCAAACCACCAAGACGCCACACCACGTCACACCACAGCACACGCGCACACACGCACACACACATACACACCACCACCACAACAACCACAACCACGCACACACGCACGCACGCACGCGCACCACCACCCACTACGCACACGCGCGCGGAGCCACAGGTCCGCTACGACACGCGTCCGCGGATAGAGAAAATCAGCGCCATGGTAAGGGATGGGAGGGAGGGGTAGGATGTCAGATGTTGACGCGAGCGCACCTAACTTGCCTCCTCCCCCTCCTCCTCCTCCTCCTCCTCCTCCTCCTCCTCCTCCTCCTCCTCCTCCTCCTCCTCCTTCCCCTCCTCCCCTCCTCCCCCTCCTCCTCCTCCTTACCTCCTCCTCCCCCTCCTCCTCCTCCTCCTCCTCCGCCTCCTCCTCCTCCTCCTTACCTCCTCCTCCCCTTCCTCCTCCTCCTCCTCCCCCCTCCTCCTCCTCCTCCTCCTCCTCCGCCTCCTCCTCCTCCTCTGCCTCCTCCTCCTCCGTCTCCTCCTCCTCCTCCTCCTCCTCCTCCTCCTTCTCCTCCTCCCAAAATCTCAAACGATGGGGAGGGGGGGGACGGCAGCCGGCAGGAGGGGAAGACGAGCCAACCCCTCGAGGCGGCAAGAGCCCCGCTGGGACAACAAAGAGGTACCCGTATACCGCTGCAGTCGACCCGTACAACAAAAGGATGCATGATAAGGATGCAAAGGGCCTTGGAGGCCGTTTCGAAGCTTTTCGAGCGGAGCGCGGCCAACGAATGTGGCCAAGGATGGGCCCAGGAGGCAAGGGTGCAAGGGTACTCTTGGGAAGGCCCATCCTTACTATGCGGGTTGACTGTACTCCACGGACCTCTCCTGGGGTGCGTTCTGACCGCCGTAGCGGTATCAGTACCTTTCCTCCCCTGACCCGCGGGGAGGAAGTGTAGAGCCATCAGCTGCAGGAGAGCGAGTGCAAGGAGGAAGGAGAGCAGGTGAGAAAATCAGAGGGCAAGGATGGGCAAAGGAAGGAGGCACAAGGTAAGAAGCGGGATGTACATACAAGCAGCGGGAGGGAAGGGGAGGAGAGAAAGAGGGGAAAGAGCAGGAGGATACAGAGGACTGGCGGGGGGAGGTGAATACAAAAGTGACAAGGGGCAAGAGAGGAACTATGAAGAGTCAGGAGGGACGAACGGGATGGAGAAGCGAGCAGCGGGGGCTGGGGCTAGGATGGAGGCGGGATGGTGTGGAAGTGCGGCAGGGAGTAGGGGAATGAGATGGAGCGAGGGTGAGGGATCATTGCGGGGGGGGGAGGAGGAATGTCGACGGATGGAGGAGGAGAGGAGAAGAGACCAGCCAGGTACAAGGCCATGAGATGCGAAAGAGAACGAGCCAGGGCAGGTGAGGAGGACGACGACGACAGAGGAGGGAGGGAGAAAGCAGGAACACAGGCAAGCACGACCAGGAGGAGCCCAACGGGGCTCCAAGGAGGAGGACGGGGAGGAAGAGAAAGCGGACAGACATGCTCGGAGGCAGCGAGGAGCAGAACATAGAGAGCAATTGGAAAACGCGCAAAAACGCAAACTTTCACAGGTCCGCGCAGATCTCTTGGGCCGTCGCTGGCCATCCTCCCTGGCGCGCGGAGCGGGCCAGGAGCAGCGCCGGAGTGGCGGGGCAATAACGCCGATCCGCGCGGACCTCGGAAAATGTGTTATGCTGGTGCGCTTCGTCGTCACCAGAGAACGGGAGGAAGAGGGGGAAGTGGAGGAGAAGGTTGAGGGGAGAGGAGGGGGAGGGTTGGTGAGGGGAGGGGAACGGTGGAGGGCTGAGGGAAGGGAAGAAGGGGGGAGGGGAGGGGAGGGGAGGGGAAGGAAAGGAGTGGGGAGCAGGGAGGGGAGGGGAGACACGGTCCCGGCCACGCATGCCCCTGCATCGTGCCGCGCCGCGGCAATGCTCCCGCGCCGTGGGACCGGAACAAGCCTGCCGCACGCCCATGCAGGCCCAAGGAGGGTCGGAGGCTCGAACTGCACCGACTGGTGCAGCAGCCCTTCGCGGAGGTGGGGGAGGAGGAGGGAGGCTGGAGGAGGGAGGGAGGACGGAGGGTGGAGGGTGGAGAGAACAGGGAGGGGGGGAGCACTGGAGACGTGTGACGAACGAACAACACACACACCCATACCCATAAGAAGGTCGTTGGGAGGAGGACTGGCTATGGGTATGGGTGCGGGTTGTCGGACCCTGGGGAACGCTCCCTTTCGAGCGGGGACCCCCATCCGACAACACGCACCCATAGCCCTCTCCGATCCCCCTATGGGTATGGGTGTGTGTTGTTGGTTCGTCAACGTGGGAGGGAAGGCGGGCGGAGGAGGGAGAGGGAGAGCGGAGGAGGCCGGAGAAGAGGCAAGGGGGGGAGAAGGGCCAGGAGGGGAAGAGGAAGCCCCCCGAGGCCCCCAGAAGACGCCAAGGGGCTTCCAGAAGGCCTTAAGAAAGCCTGAACAACATGTGTGAGGCCCCCAGAGGCTTTCCAAGGACGAGCCTCCGCAAAAAGAGCTGAGGAGGATGGGGAAAATGCGCAGGATATGGCCAAAATGGAGAAAAAGAATGTGGAGGAAGGGGAACGAACAACATTATCATAACGGCGATGCCAGAAATGCAACAATGAGTTATCGGTAAAATGTCGGCTTGACCTTCCTGCCATTCCGCCTGCATACCAAACTTCAAGGACCAAGGTACATGGCGCGAAACGGCAGTGAAAACTTGTATATATCGGAGGTTGGGGGGTTGGAAAGGAAGTGACACCAACTGGGAATCGGTTCCGGTTTCGGTTCGTGTCGCGCGTGCGGGAAAGGCCAACCTGCGCGAATTCCATCCATAGTAGAGGCCATGTATTGCCAAAACGGCCGCTCCCGAGCGTCAGGCCTGGCCCATGGTTGTCCCGGCAGTTGTCCCGGCACTTGTCCCGATGCTTGTGGTTGTCCCGATGGTTGTCCCGATGGTTGTCCCGATAGTTGCCCCGATAATTGTCCCGATGGTTGTCCCGATGGTTGTCCCGATGGTTGTCTCGATGGTTGTCCCGAGTCCCGATGGTTGTCCCGAGTCCCGATGGTTGTCCCGAGTCCCGATGGTTGTCCCGATGGTTGTGCCGGTGGTTGTGCCGATGGTTGTCCCGATGGTTGTCCCGATGTTTGTCCCGATGGTTGGTAGATAGATAGATAGATAGATAGATAGATAGATAGATAGATAGATAGATAGATAGATAGATAGATATATAGATAGATAGATAGATAGATATATAGATAGACTGATGTTGTTAGATGTTGCCCCGATGGTTGTCCCGCTGGTTGTCCTGATGGTTGTACCCATGTTTGATAGAGAAACGTAAAGGTACAAATAGGTATACACATGTGTAGAGAGAGAGGTAGAGAAAGAGAGAGAGAGAGAGACATGTATAGAGGGAGAGATAGAGAGATATGTCAATCTACATGTTGATGAGCATCGATATATGTGTATATATATATAGAAATAAGCATTTCGATATACATATATGGAAATGCCGATAGGCATATTGCTTGATTGATTGATGTATTGACTGGTCGACTGACGGGTAGGTATAACGGTAGATAGGTATACGGTTGTGCCAGATAAATAAACGCATCTATATGTCGATAGATAGACGCACGTATGTGCGCGACACTAAAAAGATGAAGAAACCCTCAAGGAACCCAGGGCCATCGCACATCGACCGCCTCCCCATAACCTTCTTATCACAGGTACCGATATACACATACGTGTGTGTGTGTGTGTTTTCCATGCGATCTGCCTGGAGAACCGACGTGCTAGGACCCCAGCGGCCGGTAGATATGGACATGATTTCCACAAGGGGACCGCCCGCCGAGGTCCCCGAATGTTGATCCCGTGGGCGGTGGCTATTGGCAAATCCCTGCCTCGGAACGGGACGAGAAGACCGAGGAGAGAGACGAAATGGAGCGAGGAAGGTAACCTACGTCTTGCCTCGAGTGTGCAACGTCATCGGCAACACCTACAACGAGCCCTGCTCAAAACAGACCGAAGAGGCTGCCGCTCTTCGTCTCCATTCTTTCCGTGCCCAAAGGGGCCCAGGCCCCCATACGCAATAAACGCACATAAATCCCAAGATCCCCATACTTTCAATATTTGTTTGATGCTCGTCTTCCCGTCCATTCCCAGAATTTACCGATATGTTGTGTGTTTGTGTGCGTGTGCCTCCTGAACATGGAGCGACGGCGGACAGGGAGGACGGGAACTGGAGGGGCACCCCAGCACAAAAAAAAAACCCTCGGCAGGCACGTGCGACCCCGAGCACCTGCCTGGAGGCACCACGCGGAGGAGGGCCAGTGAAGACGACGCCAGCTCCCATGGTAAGCCCGGGGGGTCCACCTCTGCCTCTGTGCGGCGAGCATGGGGGGGCCCTGGCAGTCGGGGCAGTCCGAAGGCCGACTTGGGGCGAACCTTCGCGGCGGCGGAGAGGATGGCAGAGGTGTGGGCCGGGAGGCTGGCCGAGGTGCGGGGCTGGGAGGAGGGCCGAGCTGGCCACCTGCCAATGCCAATCTCCCTAGCTGCGTGCAGCCGTGGCGACCAGGGCCCCCCCCCGATGGTCCACCAAAGCCCATGTTCTTATTCGCGATGACGGCCGCCGCCGGCCCCAGCCCCCCTCCCGCCCCGACCTCACGTCACGATTCGCGCTGGCGCCATCTCGGAAATAGCACTTCCTGAGCAGGCCCAGACAGCGCCTGCGCGAATCTCGGCGTGGCCGGCCCCCATCCCCCACGCGTTATCGCCAGGGAAAACAAAGAATGGCCTCCTAACGTTGTCTCAACTCGCCCTCCTGTGAACTTCTAGAGGCCTCCTAGGCGGGGCGCGAGTCGATGGGGGCGGAAGATCGCGCCACATCGCCGATGCATAGGCGATACATCGACGCCGCATCGTCAATGCGTAGCGATCCCTCGACTCCATCTAGGGGGTTGCCAAAGGTGCCCCTGGCCCAAGGTGCCTCTAGCTTGTCGCTCCATTTCGGAGCCCCTGGGGACCCCACTGGGCCATGTGAGGGGTGCTCCAGAGACCGTGGGTTCCTCCTCGGACAAGGCTACTTCTGGCAACACCCGACCCATCTACTCGGACCCCATTTGGGGGAGACCAAAAGGTACCGATACCGCTACTCCCTGGACCTCTCCCAGAGTGCGTTCTGACCAGAACTTCGAGGCGAATCCAGCGGTGGCAACGAGGGCCTCCCAGGAGGCTGAGCAGAAAGGAAAGCGAGGGAAAGCTAGCGGAGTGGGCATCTTTTCCTCCTCCTACAGTTCGGAGGCCTGGACTCCTGTGAACTGCGGCGGGCGACCGAGCCGCACACGTGCAGGAGGCTAGGCAACCACGGCCTGGATCTGGCCGGCCCCCGCCTCACTCTGGCCCCGCGGCGGCGGCCCTCGCCTGAGCGACACAATGCCCGGCCTCTCCCAGCAGCCTCCTCCTTCCTGCTCCTCGTCCTCCTCCTCCTCCTCCTCCTCCTCCTCCTCCTCCTCCTCTTCCTCCTCGAAAGGAGGCTCCTTCTTGAAGGCGCGGGCCTTGCGTCGATAACGAGGCCCGCGCCTCCTCAAAAGCAGGGGTGCTTCTGAGAAGCATTCCCCCCTCCCCGATGGAGCCCACGAAGGCCGTGCGCGCCCACCCGCGTGCATGAACACGGCCCCCCCAAGCCGCGAGACCGGCCACGTGCTACGAACGAACGTTCGCGCGATGCGCACTCTCGAGCACAACGCGAATCTATGTCTCACCATCGCTCGGACGTCCATTCCATGTGTTTTGTTGGTTTCGTGCGTGGTTTTTTCGCCAAATGATCAAGGATGCTCCTCGATGGTCCTCGCCGAAGGAAAAACGCACACGTCCGAGCGATGCCGAGATGTACGTGTACGTCAGTCTGTCGCTCCGCATCCCCCTATGCCCCCCTCTGCGCGCGGTCGAACAGTGCTCGCCTTCGCCCTGCCCAGGCTCAGGAAGCCTCGCATCGGGACGCCGAACCGAGCCGAGCACGCACGTCGGGTCGGGCCGCATCGGCGCGAAATTGACCAACCCGAAGACCCGAATTTGACCCGAATTTCGGGTTGGGGGCGGTACGGATACCATGTGTTTTTTCAACGCTCCCCGTCCCCCCCACACTGGAAATGGAAGGCAAATTGAGGGCTTCGGGTTGGGTTGGGGTGGTTTGGTGGGTGGTGAGAAATCGAGGGCGGCTTTGATCGGCCACGCCGGGCTATGCACAGCAGCGCCATGCCAGCATCGGGTCGCATCGGACCGCTGAAACATCAGAATCGGTATCGAGTCGGGCTGGCAAGAAGCGGTATCGGGTCGCATCGATCGGATGCACGTGGATCCTTGCCCTCTCTGCCCTTCAGAAGGACGAAGCCAGGACCGAGTCAACATTGGACCGGGAGAAAGAGGGGATCTCTGAGATCCAACAGTTCTAGAGGATACGCCGGGCGTCGCGGCAGCTCCAGGGCGCTCCCCTCCGCCCGAGCGGCAACGCAACTGCTCCAGAATCCTTGCAGCTGGAGGCGTCCCAGACGGGGTTGGAGCAGGTGGGGCCATTGGAGCATCGTGGCGCATCGTCGATCCATCGGTGATGCATCGACGATGCATCGGCGATGCATCGGCGATGCATCGGCGACGCATCGGTGTGGGGGACACCCGGCTCCACATCGAGCCGTATCGCCAATGCATCGGTGATGCGGCGCGACCCTCCGACCCCATCCAATGTGACCCCCTCCAGGGAGGCCTGGAGCGGCGGCCCTCCCGGCCCTCCCTGCCCTGCCTCCCCTCGCGGGCGGCGACTGCATCCATGCACAAAGCGCCTGACGGCTCCTCGCACGCACGTCTCAGCGACGGCTCAGCGCACACACATCTCATCTCAGCGACGGGCTGTGGGGTGGCCGTCGCTGCTCTCGACACGCCGCTGCTTCCAGGGCGCGTCTACGCACGTCTCGGGCCCGTTCGTCGACCGTCACGAGCGGCGAACTTGTCCGTATCCGCGCCATCGCGGCGCGGAATGCGGGGTGCGATGTCGTGGATGCGCGGTCGCACGAACAAATGCCAACGGCGGCGAGCCCTGGGGATTCAGAGTGGGCGGGCATCCTCGGAAGTCTCGGAAGGCAGTCGGCCTTCTAAGAATGTTCTGAGCGTTCCTCCGAAGGCGGAGACGGCCTCCCACAAGGCCGGGAGGCTTCTGAGAAACCTGGTCGCCTTCTAAGAAGACCTTCCCCCTCCCCCTGACCATCCAGAGTGCTAAAACATCGACCTCTCGGGGGCGTCCAAGAGGGGGGGGGGGGGGGCGCAAATGGTGGCTGGCGGCACGTGCGCGGCCCAGGGGGGGGGGCTGGGGACGTGGTGAAATAAGAAGGAGCGCCATGAAGCCTGGAAAGATATCATGGCCCACGCCATGACATCCCCCCCCGTAGTCGGCACCCCCCCCCTCTCGCCATCGGCTCGGACGTCCATTCCGTGTGTTTTTTCCGGTTTCGTGCGTGGGTTTTTCGCCAAATGATCAAGGATGCTCCTCGATGGCCCTCGCCGAAGGAAAAATGCACACGTCTGAGCGATGCCGAGTCCCGGCCGCCCCCGAACCTCCAGACCTACTGATCTCCCCCCCGCGGCTCGCCGCAGAGTCCCGCGCGGGGCATCCGCAGGCAGGCGCCCCACGCCCGCGGGGGTCGCAGCCCCGGGGGCCCCGCCAGGCGAGGCCGCCCGGCAGAGGCGAGGGCAGGGGCCGACCAGACTAGCACTCCCGCGGGCCTGCCGCGGGGTCTGCTCCGAGCGAGATTTTGATCTAACGGAGCAGAGGCAAAATGCTCTCAGGGCACAGCGCCGACGCCCTGAACCCATGCTTGGATGTTCGCTCTGGGGAGCTTCCAGGAGAGACCCGCTCCACTCGTGCGTCGACGCCGCGTCGACCGTCCGTCGACATTGAGTCGACATTGAGTCGAGCCTAAATCGAGCTTGAGTCGAACTTGGTTCGAACTGCGGTCGAACTAGAGTCGAACAGATCCGCAGGTGGGCTCCAGGAAGGTCCCCCAAACGAGCATCTAGCACTGCAGTCTCAGCCAGACATGTTCTAAGAGCACTTACTGAAGCCACATAAACTCTCTAAACACTCCGTGGTGGGACTGTGAGCGAGCCAGAACGCCACGCCGATGCTCGAGCAACGAAAGGAGGGACCGGGGAAAACACCTATCCGGAATCGGCGCTGGATCGCCGACACGTCCGCGATAGGGGGCTGGTGGAAGCTCCGCTCGGTCCCAGGAGGGAGCGGGGACCATCGGGGGCCTCCTCCATCGGCGACGAATGGGCGCTTGGGCGTCGATGTGTCCCTCCCCCGAGCCTGTGAGCCCGTCTTCAAGACAACGCCCAGTATTCAACAGGCTCCCGCTGCAGGAGAAAATCATTACCTCCTCCTCCTCCTCCTCCTCCTCCTCCTCCTCCTCCTCCTCCTCCTCCCTCTCCTCCTCCTCCCTCTCCTCCTCCCCCCACATCTTCCCCCTCCTCCTCCTCCTCCTCCTCCTCCTCCTCCTCCTCCTCCTCCTCGCCCCTCCCGGCGTGGCCCCGGGTTCCCTCCCCCCGCGGGACGGCAGGGCCCCCCCCCTCCCCCAGGGCGGGAGCGGCGGCGCACGACGAGCTCGGCCTGCGCCCCTCGCCGCACGAGCCCCGCCTCCCTCCCGCCCTCGCCGAGGCCTCGCCCCTCGGAAGCTCTGCGGCGACGAAGCGAAAGAGCATCGCAGAAATCACGCCCTCTCGCCCGCCTCCCTCACTCGCTCCCTCCCTCCTTCCTCCCTCGCTCGGCCTCGCCCCTCGGAAGCTCTGCTCCGACGAAGCGAACGAGCTGCAGAGCACCGCAGAAAGCACGCCCAGAGCCCTGGACCCCAGCTCTCTGCGCCACTCCTCGAGCCCGAGCGATCAGAGCCCGCCTCCCTCCCTCGCCGAGGCCTCGCCCCGAAAGCTCTGCTGCGACGAAGCGAACGAACTGCAGCACCGCAGAAATCACGCCCGGAGCCCTGGACCCCAGCTCTCTGCGCCACTCCTCGAGCCCGAGCGATCTGGGAGGGTCCCCGAGTCCGAGACGCGGCCGCCAAGGAGCCGAGTCACGACGCGAAGGCCGGGAGGCAACGTGCCACAGTCTCGGAGGAAGGACACAACATACCGATGCCGCTGTTCGTTTTGGAGAGGGCTTCCCTGAAGGGGCCCTGGGACACACAAATAAATACACACACAAATAACAGGATTCCCCATATTTTCCCATATGTTCTTGGTTTTTGTTTTCCCCCCCACTTCCCATATTTTCCTATATTTTCTGGGAATCGACGAATCATTAAGTCTGTGTGTTTCTTTTCCTCCTGATTCCCGTCATGTCGTCATGTCCAAAGGGGGGGGGGACAGCGCTCCCCGCGACGAAGGCTTTCGGCATCTTCCCCCCTCGGCATTGTGACCCCCGGCTGGCGCCCGCGGACTCCTCCACAGGCGCAGCCGCACAGCATCGCGGGCGGCCGTCCGGGCGGAAGCCCGGTCTCCCAGGCATGTGTGAACTTTGGTACAGCACGTTTTCTGACTACCTGCCAGACCACCCCAACCCAACCCGAAGACGCGAATTTCGGGTGGGGGGGGGGTACGGGTTCCATATGTATTTTTTCCCAACCATCCTGTGGTGTTGGGTCCTCGTTTTGAAGAGACGGTGCCCCGCGTTCCTCCTCCTCCTCGCCCTCCTCCCTCCTCCCCCTCCTTGCCTCTGCTCTCGGCGCACCTCTCACGCGTTTCGTAGCCCCATAGGGAGCTCCACCGAAGGCCCCAGTGGGGGTGTCCACATGCGGTTCCCCCACCCAGGGCAGCGTTTCGTAGCCCCATAGGGAGCTCCACCGAAGGCCCCAGTGGGGGTGTCCACATGCGGTTCCCCCACCCAGGGCAGCGTTTCGTAGCCCCATAGGGAGCTCCACCGAAGGCCCCAGTGGGGGTGTCCACATGCGGTTCCCCCACCCAGGGCAGCGTTTCGTGGCCCCATAGGGAGCTCCACCGAAGGCCCCAGTGGGGGTTCCACATGCGGTTCCCCCACCCAGGGCAGCGTTTCGTAGCCCCATAGGGAGCTCCACCGAAGGCCCCAGTGGGGGTGTCCGCATGCGGTTCCCCCACCCAGGGCAGCGTTTCGTGGCCCCATAGGGAGCTCCACCGAAGGCCCCAGTGGGGGTGTCCGCATGCGGTTCCCCCACCCAGGGCAGCGTTTCGTGGCCCCATAGGGAGCTCCACCGAAGGCCCCAGTGGGGGTGGCATGCGGTTCCCCACCCAGGGCAGCGTTTCGTGGCCCCATAGGGAGCTCCACCGAAGGCCCCAGTGGGGGTGTCCACATGCGGTTCCCCCACCCAGGGCAGCGTTTCGTGGCCCCATAGGGAGCTCCACCGAAGGCCCCAGTGGGGGTGTCCGCATGCGGTTCCCCCACCCAGGGCAGCGTTTCGTGGCCCCATAGGGAGCTCCACCGAAGGCCCCAGTGGGGGTGTCCACATGCGGTTCCCCCACCCAGGGCAGCGTTTCGTGGCCCCATAGGGAGCTCCACCGAAGGCCCCAGTGGGGGTGTCCGCATGCGGTTCCCCCACCCAGGGCAGCGTTTCGTAGCCCCATAGGGAGCTCCACCGAAGGCCCCAGTGGGGGTGTTCGCATGCGGTTCCCCCACCCAGGGCAGCGTTTCGTAGCCCCATAGGGAGCTCCACCGAAGGCCCCAGTGGGGGTGTCCGCATGCGGTTCCCCCACCCAGGGCAGCGTTTCGTGGCCCCATAGGGAGCTCCACCGAAGGCCCCAGTGGGGGTGTTCGCATGCGGTTCCCCCACCCAGGGCAGCGTTTCGTAGCCCCATAGGGAGCTCCACCGAAGGCCCCAGTGGGGGTGTTCGCATGCGGTTCCCCCACCCAGGGCAGCGTTTCGTGGCCCCATAGGGAGCTCCACCGAAGGCCCCAGTGGGGGTGTTCGCATGCGGTTCCCCCACCCAGGGCAGCGTTTCGTAGCCCCATAGGGAGCTCCACCGAAGGCCCCAGTGGGGGTGCATGCGGTTCCCCCACGCAGCGTTTCGTAGCCCCAGAGGGAGCTCCACCGAAGGCCCCAGTGGGGGTGTCCACATGCGGTTCCCCCACCCAGGGCAGCGTTTCGCAGCCCCAGAGGGAGCTCCACCGAAGGCCCCAGTGGGGGTGCCCACATGCGGTTCCCCCACCCAGGGCAGCGCTTCGTAGCCCCATAGGGAGCTCCACCGTAGGCCCCAGTGGGGCTGCCCTCATGCGGTTCCCCCACCCAGGGCAGCGTTTCGTAGCCCCAGAGGGAGCTCCACCGTAGGCCCCAGTGGGGGTGCCCGCATGCGGTTCCCCCACCCAGGGCAGCGTTTCGTGGCCCCATAGGGAGCTCCACCGAAGGCCCCAGTGGGGGTGTTCGCATGCGGTTCCCCCACCCAGGGCAGCGTTTCGTAGCCCCATAGGGAGCTCCACCGAAGGCCCCAGTGGGGGTGTTCGCATGCGTCTCCACTACCCAGAGGTAGCGCCGCCGAAAACGATATTCACACTTGCGGTATTCACAGTTGCATATGGTTGGGTCCTTCGCCAGGCTAATTTGTTTTTTTTTCTTTGCAGGCACGGCTTGCGCTGTGACGCCTGCTCCCAAGGACACAAAGGGCCTGGGAAGCGGCGAGGTCGACGGTGCCGCCGCACCGCCGCATCCCCCTGCGCTAGCGTCCGCGCGGGCTTCTCGGGCCACCTCCTCCGCCCCTTCCCCCTCGCCCCCTCCCCCTCCACCCCCTCCGCCTCCTCCTCATGGTGGAGGCATGCTCGAGAAGAACTTGTCGGCCCTCTGCACGGCCAGGTCGTAGAGGTTGCGCTCGTGCCTCGTCAGGTCTTCCAGCACGTCCAGGTGGCGCTGAGAGAGCTCACACTTTTCTCCGCCGCGATTTTTGCGAACTGTGCGAAGGTCTGCGATGTGTTTGAGTTGTGGGAACCATGAGACAGCAACATCCAGCGTAGAACAGTTCTCAAGTATGATTGGGACGCAGTGGGCAAGGTTCGCCAATGTTGAATTGAAGACGTAATCCCACTCTTGGTCATCGGTGTCATCATTAAACAAAGCCTCATCGACCAAGCCGCTCAACATGCGAAACGGCTCGTTCAGACAGCCCAGCCCATACTCCGAACGGCCCTGACGAAAGAACTGTTTCATATCTTCGGGCTTCACAGCGGCAAGGCAATCTGGGGCACCGAATTTCTTGAACCGATAGTAATAACAAGACTGAATGCGCGACAAAGGATCCCTGAAATTTGTGATACACGAAAACTGTTGCACACCGTCCTTCCAAACATCTTTCGAAGTGAACTGGCCTTGCCTGGCAAAAGTGCGAGACAACTCGAGCCAATCCACATGCCCGCCATACACGGCTACCTTAGAGGTCCCATAACTGTAAGATTCACAGGGTTCACTAAAGCACTTGATGTTGAACGGTAAGTGCAAGCGTTTCGCTTGACTGAACAGAATGGATCTCAGAGATATGCCGCCTGCCTTCCTCTGATGGATAAACACAAGCGGTCGTTCCACTGAGATGTTTGCGACTTTCGGGGGCAGGGGGGATTGCAAGAAGGTTTGCGCAGCGGCATTGGTTGCTGCATGACTTCCTCGGTGCTTTGCATACAGTTTGCGATTCCATGGCCGTCTCGATTGCGCTCTCCCGACCCTTCGGTGCGATCCTCGACGTGGCGGTGCTCTCGCGGGCACCAGGTTTGGGTGGCGCTCTCTGAGGGGTTCCGACGACCCTTCTGACATTGGGCCCTGTGGGCCCGACGGGAATCTCATTCCCTGCCACGCCCGCGGTGAAAAGATCGCATGCGCGCCGACAGCGGCGCCTGCCATCACACATGCCACAACCACCCCCAGCGTTGCGCCCACGATGCTCCACCTGAAACGCACATTCCCGCCATCGTGCGTGAGAGCCGTCCTTTCGAGCTCTGGCGCGCCCACGTCCGTCATATCCCTCGTCCGCTGACCGTTCAAATGAGGGGGCCTAATCCGAAAACTAACACGGCTTAAGCCAAGGATGCTTAAGCCCCTTGGCTTTAGCCAAACTGGCTTGAGCCAAAATGGCTACGGATTGAGCCTCTGGAATTTTGGTGAACGTTTTCTTTTTCGGCGTTTCGACATTGGGCGGAAGGGGGGGGGAGGGGGGGTCTGGCTCTGGACCTCTGCTGAACGCGACTGTTTGCAACAATGCGTCCTGTCGGGGAGGGTCCACCTGCTTGAGACAGGCGCCCAAAGCAGCACCTATCTACTCCGGCGGGGGAGCGAGGACCCGCGCTGATGGGCAAAACAATGCATCAGAAAACGATCACTTGTTATCATGATCTGGCTTGTTGATTGGCGGTGTGTTGCGTGGTGCGTGTTTTTCCCAACCAGCCTGTGTTGTTGGGTCTTCGTTTTGAAGAGACAGCGCAGCGCGTCCCTCCTACTCCTCCTCCACCCCCTCCCGCTGCCCCCCCCTCCCTTTCCCCATCATCAGCATCACCGTCACCATCATCATCGTCATCATCATCACCATCATCATCAGTTCGGCACACCCCTCACACGGTTCGTGGCCCCATAGGGAACTGCACCGAATGCCCCAGTGGCTGCGTCCTCATGCGTCACCGCCACCCAATTCGGCACACCCTTCACACGGTTCGTGGCCCCATAGGGAGCTCCACCGAACGCCCCAATGTTTGCGTCCTCATGCGCCACCGCCACCCATTACGGCACACCCCTCACACGGTTCGTGGCCCCATAGGGAGCTCCAACGAAGGCCCCAGTGGCTGCGTCCGCATGCGTCACCGCCACCCATTACAGCACACCCCTCACACGGTTCGTGGCCCCATAGGGAGCTCCACCGAAGGCTCCAGTGGCAGCGATCGCATGCGCCACCGACACCCAGGACAGCGTTTCGTGGCCCCATAGGGCGCTCCACCGAAGGCTCCAGTGGATCCGCATGCGTCACCTCCACCCAGGACAGCGTTTCGTGGGCCCATAGGGAGCTCCACCGAAGGCTCCAGTGGCAGTGTCCGCATGCGTCACCGCCACCTAGGACAGCGTTTCGTGGCCCCATAGGGACCTCCACCGAAGGCTCCAGTGGCTGCGTTCGCATGCGTCACCGCCACCCAGGACAGCGTTTCGTGGCCCCATAAAGAGTTCCGCCGAAGGCCCCATTGGGAGGGTCCGCATGCGCCTCCGCCACCCAGGACAGCGTTTCGTGGGCCCATAGGGAGCTCCACCGAAGGCTCCAGTGGCAGGTCCGAATGCGTCCGCGCCACCGATTTCGGCGCACCCCTCGCACGCTTAGTGGCCCCATAGGGAGCTCCACCGAAAGCGGTACCCACAATGCGGCACTCGCAGTTGCATTGGTTGGGTCCGTCGTCAGGCTAATTTAAATGTTCCTCGACACCCCCCCACTGGAAATGGAGAGCAAATCGGGGCCTTCGGGTTGGGTTGGGGTGGGTTGGTGGGTGGTGATTTTCTGGCTCATCGATAGTTGTTGAACCCGCATCAGATTCTCCTCGACTCTGAAGTTATGGTCAAGGCTCACCCCAGGAGAGGTCGAGGGAGCAGCGCCCCGACAATCTCTGGTTTCCCCCCCCCCCCCCCCCCTCCCTCCCTCAGAACCCGTGGGGGGTAGGGGTAGGGTTCGCATGTGGCCTCCTACGAGGGCGAGCCAGGGGACGAAAGGGGGGGGGGGATAGGGCAAGGGGGGGGGCGAAATCTCCTGCATGCAGCTGGTTTCAGCCCCACCGAGGGGCCCATGCCTCGATGCATGGCCGCCTCGGGCGCCGAGAGGCGCCGGGAAGATCAGCTACGTGGGCTGGTTCTCACCCCCCCCCCTTTGCTATCCCCCCCTTTCGCCCAGCCCGAGAGGGCGGGCGGGGGGATCGCGCCCCGGAAGCCAGACCGCGAGGTCGCGAAAGCGGGCGCGCTCGCCGCGCGCGAGGAGGGGTGGGCGGAGAGGGGCGGGGGGAAGCGCAGAGGGAACCTGGGATCCTGGCGTCTTGATTTTTGTCGAGCCGGGCGTGTTTTGCTTTTCAAGTTCGATCCAGACACCCCTCGATCCCGAGGGCGGAAAGCGGACGAAGTCGACGAACGCGTCCGAAACCTTGAGCCTCTGAAGTGCGTGTACTCCTTCCCTGTAATCCGACGTTGGGGGGAAATAAAACATCGCAGCATATGGCGACCTGAGCCCGTAGGCCGGGTGTTTCTGCGGCATTTGTCGAACTGGATCGGTCCGTGATGGTCCCGGGGGCCCCAACACTGGGCAACATCGCCGGCTGTGACAGAGAGCCAGAGGCCTCCCAAACGATGCATTGGCGATGCATCCGAAACGCGTGCGATGCATTGGCGACGTCGGCGTGTGGAAAATCGTTCGGTGGCAACACACGGATGGGAACCTCCCGTACCATCTTGCTGGCTCTTACGAATCGGCGCTGATCGACGCGAGTTAACGCGCAACGACGCTGAATCGACGCGAATTGACGCTCGCCGACGCCACGTCGGCGTGACCTCATCGACGCCCGAACGCTACCCAACGCCACTGGACGCTAAATACGTAGGCGAGCAGGCACACCTGGCCCCCGTGAAATCCCACCAGCCCTTTGGGCGTGAGTGGTTTAGAGAGCCCGCTCTGTCCTCAACCCCCCAAAATCCCCTTCGGATGGGAACCTCCCGTACCATCTTGCTGGCTTTACGAACCGACGCGAGTTAACGCGCAACGACGCCGACGCGAATTGACGCTCGCCGACGCCACTCGGCCCCTGAACGGCCACTGGACGCTAAATACGTAGGCGAGCAGGCACACCTGGCCCCCGTGAAATCCCACCAGCCCTTTGGGCGTGAGTGGTTTAGAGAGCCCGCTCTGTCCTCAACCCCCCTTCTTCCCCTTCGGGGAGGGGTTTACCCCTCCCCCTACCCCCTCCCCCTGGGCCTGGAGAGGGAGGGCCGAGCGTCGTCAGGGGGGTCGTTTTCGACTCCTTGGAGGGCTTCACGAGGATTCTAGCCCCGACGGGGGGGGAGCCCCTCTGCTCTTCTGTGAAGCCAAAAACATTGATTTTACTACGGTTTGGTCCCATTTTGGCCTTCTGAGGGGGCCGCGCTCATCTTCCTTCATAGCAAAATCATTGATTTTCAAAGGTTTTGGGCTCATTTTGTCCTTCTCAGGGGGCAGCGCTCCAAGAGGCACCTCCAAGAGGCCCCAAGAGGCTCGCCCGAACGAGGACGAGGGGCCCGAACGACTCACACCACGAAGAGCCCGAACGACTCACACCACAAGGAGGGGCCCGAACGACTCACACCAGGACGAGGCGCCCGAACGACTCACACCACGAGGAGCCCGAACGACTCCACCACGAGGACTCACACCACGAGGAGCCCGCACACCAGGAGGAGGGGCCCGAACGACTCACACCAGGATGAGGGGCCCGAACAACTCACACCACGAGAAGCCCGAACGACTCACACCAGGACGAAGAGCCCGAACGACTCACACCACGAAGAGCCCGAACGACTCACACCAGGAAAAAGGGCCCGAACGACTCACACCAGGGACGAAACTCCACCTCGAGAAACCCCAAACGACTTAAATCACGAGGAGCGCTTTCTCTCCCTCCTCCTCCGCCTCGTCCTTCTCCCGCTCCCCCCAGAAGGAGGATGTACAAGGAGGCGGGAGGAAGGAGGAACAGGGGAGATATGCGGGGCCAAGCGGACACACGCCTGAAAAACACGACTGTCGGCATGCTTCGCAAGAGTTGCTGCTGTGAGATGGGCTGGTGGGGATACGCGAAGCGTAAAGAATTTGCCATCGAAAGGTCGGGCTCCGCATCAAGCCGCGTCGCCAGGAGCTCAGGGGCGCAGGTTTGGGGGCGGGGCGAGCCGCCTGCGACGCCCTGCCGCGGCGGGGCTGGCTGCCTCAGGCGCGTTCGGAAGGGGGCGGCGTCACGGCGTCCAGGAAGGGGGTCTTCGAATCGTGGCGGGAAGCATGTGCGCGACAAGACGAAGCCAGGGCGAAGATAAAACCGGGTGAGATAGGTTAACTCGGGGATATATGAGATCTGGCGGCTCTGGAAGATGTCTCGAGCGCTGCGGCCTTCTCAAAGCGTTCTGGAATTTTCTGAGAGCGTTCCGGAATGCTCTGGACGGATTTATCTTCGTCCGAACCCCATCCAACGCAGCCCTGAATCCCATAGACAATCCCCGGCCGGAAAAAAACAAAAAACAAAAAACCAAACAAAACGAATGGCGTCGTTTTGATCCACGACGCATATGTCAGAGAACACTTTGGACTTGGTCTGGTCCGTTGTAGTTGAACTCTGGTCCGGTCTGCTTGGTCTGGTCTGTTTTTTTGATTAGTCTTGGTTCGTTGGTCGCTTGGCTACTATATCTGGTCTTGTGACTCCCACGACTGGTCCAACTGGCTTTGCTTGGTCCGCCTGCTGCGCAAGACTTCCACGAAAACCGGCAGCTGCAGCAGCAACATCAGGAGCAGCAACAGCGGCGAACGTATGGCCGGCGCCCAGAACAGGATAAATCCGAGGAGCACCCGGGGGAGGAGGGGGAGGGGAGAATCTGCGTCAGCAGCCATCTCAGCTCTCAGGCCCCGAAGACGAGTAGGGCGACGGGGCATAAAAACTGTCCGCATCGAGCGGCTTAGAATGAGAAGAGGGGATGTGACATCCAGGGATATAAGCGGCATATACTGGAAAGAAGGGCCGTGACATCCAGGGAGATAACCGAGCGCCTCCCACAAACCCAACACCCTGGGGATTAGCAGGTTCGGGGGTCCGGCGAAGATAATTCGACGATTTTCCCGGCGAGAGCGAAGTTCTGCTGGTAACGATGACGATGGCGATGATGATGACGATGGTGACGATGATGATCCCAGGCGCTCGCGTAGACTGACCATGTAGATCTTGGCGCAAGACTGACTCGAGAGATCTCGAGGATCGCGGCTGCAATTGCCTGCGCAAGAAAGATCGGAGGCGCTTCTGGCCAAGAAACCTCTCTTGGGCACGACCTCGAACCACTCGCCCATGCAGTCTCGGCACCCCTTGGGGCCGTCCTTGCGCGGGAGGCGTACTGATGCTCATGGGCGCTTGGCGGCCCTCGCCTCGGATCTCGCGCAGGGCGCCCTCGATCCAGCGACTCGTCCACGGCCTTGAACATATCGTTGCTCCTCGCAGGGCAGGTCTCGCCAGGGCCAATGGCGCCGAGCTCGCGGGGGAACCTCGCGGCGGCCTCGGGCGGCCACGTGCGCACCCTTGCCGCGATTTCTGAGCACGAGGGCGGGGTTCACTCCGTTCGGCGGCCCCCGAGCAAAGTGATCCTTACCTCCCCCCTCAAGAATCGCGGGGTGCAGGTGCGAGTAGGCCCGTGGGCCTGCTTGGCGTTCTCGGGCGGCCGCTCGATGGCGTCGCGGCGCTCTACCGCGACGCCCCCGCCGATCCTCGAGACCTTGGCGGGCATTGCTACAAGCGCCCCCCCGCCCAGGGCGCCTCCAGGATTCGCTCCAAAACGGAGCAAAAGTAGGGACAACTGTAGCAACCACCGGCCTTGAGGTAGGCGTAGTGCGCGGGCCCCTCGGGATGCAGGCAGATCAGGACGTGCTCGGCCTTGTGGACTCTCTCGGCCCAGCGCTTCTGCTCATCGGGCTGCTGGGCGGCGGGTTCGCCCCCGCCCTGGCCCACTCGGGCCCAGGCGACGGCTGCCAAGGGCTCGACCACCAGAACGGTCTCGGGGAGGCCCGCGCGCTCCTCGATCTCGCCCAGCAGCGCGTGCACTGTGCACTGCTCGCGGACGTCGCCCTTGACGATCTGCCCGCAGCACATGATCGCGTACTCCTTGGCGTGCTCGGCGCGGCGAGCCAGTCTGGACTGGCGCTAGTCGAGCTCGCGCGGCTCGGGAAGCTTGCAACCCCGCTCGAACGTGACCTGTGGCGCTCGGGATTCACATGCGCTCGGTAACTTCCGCCTGCTTCCGCTTCGTGGCCTCAAGGTTCCGCCGTCGCTTCCGCCGCCAACTTTCCACCAACTTCCGCCGTCGCATCCGCCGTTCCCGCTTGCTTCCGCTTGCTTCCGCCGCCCCTGGCGGAAGCAGGCGGAAGCTAGCGAGTGCCCGTGGGCCCCCGAGCCTCGCTGGTGTCGATCTGGAAGATCGCCGCGGTCTCCACCTCGTGGACGCGCAGGCGGCTCGCGCCCTCGGTGCCCAGGACTCGCCAGACATCCTGCACTCTGTCGCGACAGCCCTCCTGGACCCCCTCCTCGGCGACGCGGACCACCTTGCCGTGCCAGGGGGGGTCCTCGCCAGCCTCGAGGCCTGTTTCCGCCTCGGTCTTCGCTTTCTTCTCGGCGTTCTTCTCCGCTTGCGCCCTGGCGTTGGACTTCTGGGAGAAGCTCGTCTTGGCCTTCGGCGGCCTGCCTGCGAGCTTCGCCTTGGCCACGCCTCGACTCAGGCGCTCGAGCGAAGCCTCGCCGCCAGTCTCGGACTTCGGAAGCTGCCACTTGCGCTGCAACTTGCCCGGGAACTGGTCCGATAATTTTGACGCCCACCTGCTCGTGCGAGCTGCTGTTCGCGCCCGCCTGATCCGGCCCGCGAAGGCGCGCGGGAACTGGATATCCTCGATCCACTCTTCTGGCGTTCTGAGCATGTCCTTCTGCTCGTGGGCGAGCTCGAGGTCCAACTCAATGAACTCCAGGAGGCAGGGGTCCTCGTCCTGCTCGTAGTCCCTGGGCAAGTCGCCCTGGTGGGGGCTGTTCCCGTCGAGGGCGCTCCACTCAGGCGCGGGCGGCGCGCCCTCGGGCCACCTCTGCATGCCCTCCACGCTCTCGCTCGCCAGGCCCCGCTCGACGCCGCGGCCGGGCTCGATGGGGTAGCTCCGCGGCTCCATGCACGTGGCGACCCTGAGCTGGCCCTGCTCTGTTTGTAAGACCGCGAACATATAATTCGCTTGTAGCCCTTGGAACAGCACCGCGTCCTTGTTCTTCTTGCGGAAGCGGGGCTAGGCCTCGGAAGCGCAGTAGAGGCACTCGCAGGGCCCCCATTGGGTCGGGGACTTGCACTGCTTCTGGGGCTCGGCCTTGGCTTCGTGGACCCAGTCCTGCTCCATGACCCAGTGCATCTCGGCCTGCACCTCTCGGGGCGTGGCCCTTAGCTGGCTGTGCTCGCGGGTGTCCGGGGCCTGCGAGAAGCTCGCGACGTCGGGGGCCATGGGCGCGCGGGCCACATTCTGGAGCAACGCTCGGAGCGCCACTGCCTCGGCCTACTGGCTCGAGAGGCAGTCTGCGAACGCGAGGCTCTGGCCGCGCTGCTGCTTGACGAAGTCGATGGTCCAGGAAACGACGAGCTCGTCCGCCCAGGCCCTCGGCTGCCCCCGCGCGTCGATGGCCTCGAAGACCCTCGCGCGCTCCTCCTCCGAGAACTTGAGCAGTTCGCTGCGCCTGCCCTTGAGCAATGCCCCTGGGGGCTCGCCTGCTGGGAAGCGCTCCGCCTCGCCGTCGCCCCGCTCGTAGGTGGCGTCGCGCCGCCAGGTGCCCTCCTCGAGGTTCACGGCGCTCACTGGGCAGCGCCATGCGCCGGGGGCGAGGAACGCGCTGCGCCTCTTGACAGACTCGGGCCCCCTGCTCGGGTCGAACCAGCCTGCGCCTCGGACCTGATGAGATGATCCTGCGCGTGTCTCTTGCGCTTGAGCAGGCATGGTCCACTCGCTCCTTCTGGCAGGGGTGCTCTGCCAAGTGCTTGGCAACCTCGGCCACGAAGGCTGCCTTGTCCCCCTCGGCCCGCGTCTGGCGGCGCTTGCGGCGGGGGTTCTGGATGCGTCCCCTGGGAACCAGAGCGCGGCGGCGTCCGCGACGACCACGCTCGCGCTGGCCCTCCGCTGGGCGAAGGTCTCGGGGCCCCCGACGAAGAGGCCGAGGTCCTCGGAGCCGCCCAATCGCCACCAGGTGCACCAACGTACTAGAGGTAAAGCAGCAGTAGTAGTGGTAGTGGTAGTAGTAGTAGTAGTAGTAGTAGTAGTAGTGGTAGTAGTAGTAGTAGTAGTAGTAGTAATCGTAGTAGTAGTAGTAGTAGTAGTAGTAGTAGTAGTAGTCGTAGTAGTAGTAGTAGTAGTAGTAGTAGTAGTCGTAGTAGTAGTAATAGTAGTAGGAACAGTGATAGTAGTAGTACTAGTACGAGTAGTAATGGTAGTCGTAGTCGTAGTAGGAGGGGTCAACGCTAGTCTGGCTCGTAGTATTAGCTGCAAGTCGCCGCAGTTGGAGTTGCCACTAGAAGTTGCTAGTAGTATTCGTAGTAGTACCAGTTACTAGTAGTAGCAGTGTCTACGAGTGGTAATTGCTACTACTCACTTGTAGCACTAGTAGTACTAGTGGTGGTAGTGGTGATACTTGTAGTTGTAACGATAGTACTCGTAATCGTAAGAAACAGTAGTGGCTACAAGTTCTGTTTCAAATACGACTACGACGAAAAACTACTACTACTACTACTACTACGACTACAACCTGTCGGCCGTGGCCCAGGTCAGCTCGGCCTTCTCCTTGCTGAGCGTCTGAAACCTCTGGTCGGAGAGGCGCTGGCCCTTGCGACCGCTAGCGTGCAGCCTCGGGGGGTGGGGGGGGGGGGTGGGGCGGACTCGCCCGCCCTCTTCAAGTCCTTATTGCACGCCTGGTTGATCTGGAAGGTGTTCATGCGCTGGGCCACCTGCTTGTAGACCTCGGCGCTGGAACTATTGTGGCCGACCTCCTGCAAGCGGAGCTACTTGTCCTGCTCGAAGGCCAGCTCGTAGCGCAGCCGCATCAGGATGGTATTCTTCGTGCTCGCGCTCCCGCTTGAGCCGGCGCTCCACGCGGTGCATGGCGCCCTCGAGCGGGCGCTTGGCAGCGACCGTGCCAGGGATGTTGCGGGAAAGCCTGGCGCCCTCGCCCCCGCGCTTGCTGCGGTTCGGACGGGCGCGCCCGCGGGCCCGGGGGCCGCTCTTGCCAGGCCTCCCCGC